AGATCCTTTGATGATACTTGAAATGGAGTTGGAGTCCTACTCTCGGAGAATTAAAATAAAATTTTTTAGCAGTATGAAAACTGTGCAAGATACAGAACCTTCGTTTTATTGAGCTCATTCCTGACCTCTATCCACTGAGTACCAGTAGCACCCTCCTCCCACTTGTTATGACAGACAAGAATCTGTGCGTGTTTTGTAACAGTACTGTCAAAAGGACGGTTACATCCCTTAGCTTCCACATATAAAAATGGGTAAAATGGATATATCTACCGTCAATCTCATAAGGATTAAAGGAGATAATACACATAAAATGTTAGTATTGGGGTCTGGCCTACTATAAGAATCCAATAACAGATGGTGGTAACTTGTTAGCAATTGAAAATATGGGTCTAGTCATAAATAGGAGAGACTCTGTTAGGACTCGAGATAAGGCTTGGGAGTCATGTAGACAAGTTGATTTAAACATTGTAAAATGCCAGACAGAAACGAAATAAGATTCAGTTTAAGAGGGATAAATGTAGGATCCCATGGCTTTTTCCTACAATCTATTAATAAGTCAAGGCTGAAGAGATATGGCTAGTATGGCTAGACCACAGTTCATAAGAAAAAGGCAGGCAAGCCAAGATTAGCCATGGTATAATTCAGTTGCTTAAACTGTCTGATGGTACATGAATGGTATAATGTCCGGGTCATGGAATGCTGCAGTCCCATAGACAGGGTTTCTTTTTCTTTTTTTTCTTTCTTAAACTTTTTTTTTTTTAAATATTGGATATTTTATTTCTTCCTTTTAAGTCTATTTATTTATTTGAGAGAGCGAGAATGAGAAAGGGAGAGAGAGAGAGCACATGACATGATAGGGGGAAGGGTCAGAGGGAGAAGCAGACTCCCCGCTGAGCAGGGAGCCTAATGTGGGACTCGATCCCGGGACTCCAGGATCATGACCTGAGCCGAAGGCAGTCGCTTAACCGACTGAGCCACCCAGGCGCCCCTAGACAGGGTTTCATGTAGGCTGTGTCTAGGGTTGGGGAGTCAGGCTTAAGAGAGCTGTTGACAAAGATAGTTGAGAAGATAGCAACTGGAGGGAAAAGTTAATGCTACTGAGTTTAGGTATAAAAAAAAGAAAAGGCATGACAGTTTTTCAGATAATTTAAAGACAGCAATTTTTGGCAGAAGAGAAAGTAAACTTGTCTGTAGAAAGCAAATCTACAACCTTCTGTGAGTTACACGAAAGCAAATACTTTGTAGTGAGCAGTTGTTAAAAAAATTCAACCAAGTAAATTCGAAGACCTGATTGGCTTTATTAAACAAATCAGGCAGCATCCCATCTAGCAAGTAGAGGAGAGCTACAAAATGGAAGGTTTTTATAGGAAGAAGGCTGGGGCAAGCAGTTATTAGCAAAGGTAAAAAAAGGATTGATTCAGGTAAGATCACCTTCCCTTAGTGGAAAGGGCATCCCCATTTTATCAAGCATATTACCTCAGCTTCCTTCGGGCGTGGGGGTGGGGATGGAGAAGGAGACGGCTCATGTGACAGATTACCTCATTGGTGCTGACCAGAAAATTCCTGACCCACTAGTTAAGACTATGTTTCTGGGAGAGGTTGAACTGCAAATAAGTTAAATATTAAGCCCTAGTTTGGTGACATGGCCTAGCATAAGTGACTCCATCCTTGGTCTGCAGTTTTCTTTTTAATGCAGTCAACCAGACACTTAATTGTTCTTTTCAGCGATGGTGTCAAATAGAATTTTATGGATATAGATGATTTCTAGGCTTTTCCAACTGTTGAGGTGGGTGTGGGAATAGACTCTAGGGTAGATCACCCCACCAATCACCTATATTAATTTCAGTGTTCCCAGCAAGACTCAAGGTAGATTCCTTCTGCACCCACTTTGATTTCAGACATTTGACTCTCTATAAGTAGCTAAACACAATTGACAAGAAAGCCTCAACTCTCAAGAGTCTGGGGGTGGGGTGAGTAGGGACACAAAATAGGTACACTAAATGCTATTTTCTGACAAATTTCCTTTTTTTCAGCCTTTGGTTTTCCCAACCAATTTGCAGCTGAATTTTAGGTAGTTTAGATCAGGTCACCCTGATCTAATCATTCCAAAATAATTTTTCCTTTTTTGTCATTGCTGTCGGGAAAGCCTCTTGCCAGTTTCTCATATAACCCTGTCCGCCATAGGAAAATCTTCCTTTTGTGATTCTTTTTAAGCAGTGCTCTAGAACAGTTTCTCACATGGGGTCAGTCCATTGACTCCCTCAGTTTATGTGAAATTGTGTATATGTGTCCATTTCTCTGAGGAGAGGGGTGTTGGCACTCATTAGCTTCCTAAAGGAGTGTAAGAATCACTTACACAAGCCTCTTCTTTGGTAAGGCAAATCTCTGTTTTTTGTTACTACATTTCATGTCTTTCAGCTGCGTTTAGTTAAATTCCAAACTGAGGTGTGGTGGGTTGTTCAACAAGGGCCAGAATTAATTGGAAGCCTCTTCCAAGTTCCCTGCTTGGACCAAGAGCCTTTCATTAGTGATTGTAGAGCACCTTCTGCTCACTTCTGTCAGAGCACTTGCCACATGATGTGAGTTGATTTATGGGACCGTCTTCTATTATTAGATTTGAAGGTTAGCCCTGTGTTGTGTTAGTTTTTGTATTCTGAACACTGAGCATCATACCAAGACCAGAACCATTTACCCATAATAAGCCAACAGATTCTTCTTTCTGTCCCAAGCAACAAATGTTTGAAGCACTTACTCTGAGCCAGGTATTATGTTAGGCATTGGGAATACAGAGGTAAGCTCCTTCCATGGAGCTTATGGACTATATCCAGAGGGACATGATCTTTGCCACTCCTTGGAGCAGCTGTGTGTGAGCCATGTGCGAATGCATTTACAATAGCCCTGACTTTACAAAAACTCCCCCTTTGTAACAGACATTAGTTTTATGCACATAGTCCATGACTTTCAATACTCAAAACAAAAATGAAAATGCTTTTTCTAGTCTTCCTCAAAACCACCCATTAAATGTCTCTCCAAAATCCTCTTTTTTTTTTGACTACAGGTGTTAATGGTTTGTCTCTAAAAATAGAGAATGTAGATGGAAGATACTTATAAAAGAAGCGTCAGCATTTATGCCCAGGTTCTGCACATAGAAGTGTTTTTTGTTTGTTTTATTTTTTAAAACTCAATAGGAAAAATTCATGATTTAAAAAAACAAATAGGGACCCCTGGGTGGCTCAGTTGGTTAAGTGTCTGCCTTCGGCTCAGGTCATGATCCCAGGGTCCTGGGATGGAGCCCTGCATCAGCATGGAGTCAGTTTCTCCCTCTGCCCCCACCCCCCACTCATGTTCTCTCTCAAATGAATAAAATCCTTAAAAAAAAAAAAGAAAAGAAATAGAGGGGCACGTGGCTGGCTTAGTCAGAGGAGCAATGACTCTTGATCTTGGGGTCATGAGTTCAAGCCCCACATTGGGTGTAGAGATTACTTAAAGAAATAAAACTTAAAAAAAAAAACCAGAAATAGAGGCAAACCTTTGTGTCTGGTTCACTAGTATGTTCTTTTTCTTTTCTAGCTTATACATACTATAATTTATGGATTTGAGTTTATGTCACACTACATTTATAGTTTTCCAATTTTTATTTAAAAGCAGGAAGCCTGGGCACCTGGGTGGCTCTGTCGGTTAAGCGTCTGCCTTCAGCTCAGGTCATGATCCCAGGGTTCTGGGATCGAGCCCTATACTGGGCTCCTTGCTCAGCATGGAGTCTGCTTCTCCCTCTCCCACTGCCTCTCCCCCTCCCCCTGCTCGTGCTCTCTTTCTTTCTCTCTCTCAAATGAATAAATAAAATCTTAAAAAAAAAAAAAGAAAAACAGGAAGCCCCTTATTCTAACCTAAACAAGAGCAGAACAGTTTGTTGAAAAAGCAAGAGGCTTTGCTGCTACCCCCTGGCCCCTAAGGGGATGCCAGGGATCCTGGTTTGAGAACTGCTGGACTAGATGGTATTTATGGGTCAGTAGTTGACTAGGGCATGATTTGTCTACAGAACCAGGCATAAGGAGAGCCAAGTCAAGAGTGCTGTGCTGTCTCTGTTTTAAAGTTCATTTCACTTAAGGAGTTCATGACTTTGGGGAGCATAGCAAAAGTCATGTATGGATATGTATTTCAGTACTGTATGTATGCAGTCCCTACCTGGAGGCTCTGATTTAGTAGGTGTGAAATAAGGCTCCAGCATCTATAGTTTTAAATAACTCCATTAATGTAGGAGAAGGCTTTTTTAATGTCACTAGAGTGTAAAAAGTTAATGCACTAGTTATACCTAGAAATATCTGCACTGCTTAGAGAAAATATGGCTTTCTGGCTTCCTGAGTTGAGCTTCAGAGACATTTTTATTTTTATATTTTCTTACAGCTTTTTAGGTTTTTATTTAAATTTTAGTTGACATACAGTATAATATTAGTTTCAAGTGTACAATATAGTGATTCAGTAATTCCATACATCACCGATGCTCATGCAAGTGCATTCCTTAATGAGTTACATTTTAACTTTTAGAATACATGACATAACATTCTACTCCTGTCATCAGAGACTTTATAAAAAACTTCTGTTTCCATTTCACTACAGTTCCTGCTACCTGAGTGAAACACTGTTCCTCTAGATATATGCATAATTATGTCTGTTGTTTATTTTCTCCCTCCAAACTCTAAAATGTAAGCTTCGCTTGGGTGGACATGTTTGTCTTTCTTATTCACTGATTCATCACAGGCTTCTAGAACAGTCAGTAAATATTTGTTGAATAACTACTAATAGTGAGGTGTGTCAGGTATGTTATTGGTTTAAAAGATTTCTTGGATTGCTCTGGAAGCCTAACTTCCTCCACCTATAGCATTTTCTATAAAGGAGTATTCCAAGTACTGAAAAGCAGATGTGGAAGTGAAAATGTGTAACCCTACCATACAGCATATTTGATTGGTTCTTGACAGACCGTAACTTTATTTTCAAAACAGGATGTGATATGGTCTGACTTCGGGTTTCCTGGAAGAAATGGACGGGAAAGTACATTGTGGATCGGCTCCATGGGGGCCCATACACCCTGTCATCTGGACTCCTATGGTTGCAACTTAGTATTCCAGGTACAAGGAAGGTAATGCACAGGTGCATGCCTGAGAGAGAGAGAGAGAGAGAGAGTGTGTGTGTGTGTGTGTTTTGCACAGGAAGAGGAATGAGGATCAGGCAGGTGGCCCCCAAGGTTTAGTCCCAGCTCTACCCTGTCAGCCTGCCTCATGACCAAGACCAATCTGTTAACCCCTGGTTCATTTTCCTCCTTTTTGAAGTAAGGGGAACAGTTCAAATGATGGTTTCCATGTGTATCTCTCACTCATGATCAGGATTACCTTCAGAAACTTGATCCTAGAGCTCCAGGATTCCACTCCCAGTTCAGCTAGACAGTTGTCTGCTTAGCTCTGTTATGTAAGAGTCTGCATTTGTAGTTTTCAAAATTCTGTTTAAAAGCAGGAAGACCCTTTCTTCAAATCTAAATAAACAAGAGTGGAGCAGTTTGTTGGAAGAAAGAGGCTTTGCGGCTACCTTCGGGCCTCTGAGGAAATGCCAGGGGTCTGGTTTGGGAACCACTGAATGAAATGGTATTTATGGCCACTTTCAAGTCTAAATTTTAGTCTGTGTCTACATGTAGACACAATGCAGTATTTTATTACTTTAGCTAAGTTCTTCTCCATCTGTCTGTGGACCCTAAGATATATAAGGGTAAGTCAGGCAATACTTTGATAGTCCCTGGTTCCAGGATTTTCATGAGAGTTTACATGTTTCTGCTAGTTGGAGGATGTACTCAGAATGTTATATGTGTAGCCTTATTTTCTTCCAGTTAGTGATGCTTGAGTCTCCTTTCCTGGCCTTTTGGAACATTTATAGGACAGTACAGAGGGAAAAGCAGAAATGGCCATTTCCTAGTTCTCAGACCCTTTAGACATGACAAGGATTATGAGTGGATCCAAAAGAAACAGTGAATAAGCATGTGAATAGATTTCACAGGTGAAGTATTTTGAAAACTATAAAATGGTATAAGACAGTCCACTTCTGGATTCATTAAGTCCTTATTAAAGGGTCTAGGACGTTTCAGGTGCATTATTATGTGTTGTGGATGCCACAGTGAATCAAGTGTCCATGGTCCTTGCCCTTAGGGAGTTAATAGTCTGAATCTTAAACTTGGTAAGAGAGGTATCTTTGTAAGGAGCTGTTTTCCATGTGTTCTGAATTGGGCAAGAAATTCAGTTGGGTAAACATTACCAAAAAATACCTGGGTTCTTTCTGTGACATAAAATTAATATAGCTTTATTTTAACTTTGTAGTAGAGCATATTTTCTGGTCTCATAAAGCTCTGGAATAGTAAAATATCTATTCAGTAAATACTCATGGAGTAGGTACCATGTGTTAGAGTAGGAGTGGAGGTGAATGAGTAGGACATATCTCTGCCCTGAGAGAGTTCATAGTTAGAGTCCAGGCAAGCCCACAGGCAGTGTGATAGAAGGCAGAATGAGCGTGCTTTTGAGGAAGGTTTCATAGAGCTGTGGAACTGAAAAGTAGGAGAGATACCGTCTCCGCTAGAAAGATTAAGAAAGATTTCAGAGAGGAGCTGCCATTTGTGATGGGCTTTGAAGGTTGGGTGAAGGATGGGTCCCAAGACATGGGTGGGAGGAGCAGAGGGATCAGCATGAGCAGAGCCCTAGGAAAGCATGTGGTGTTTAGAGAAAGAACCCTGTGAATCGTCCAGTGTAAGCTGTGCATTGCAAACAAGGGGATTAGGCAGGGAAGAGAGGTTGGAGCCAGAAGTTTACTTTCAGGCAAATAACCTCTTATTCTCTTTCAGCATGCAGGACAGTGAAATGTTTTTTGATTAGGGGATGACATGGTGATTGACCACCTTTTCTGATTAATAAGAGAAGGATGCATATGCTGTTGACCCTTGAGTAATGAGGGGATTAGGGGTACTGACCCCCGTACCGTTGAAAGTCTGCATATAATGTTTGGCTCCGTAAAAACTTAACCACTAATAGCCAACTGTTGACTGGAAGCCTTACCAATAACATAAATAGTTGATTAACACATATTTTATATGTTATATGTATTATATACCATATTCTTACAGTAAAGTAAGCAAGAGGCTCCTAGGTAGCGTAGTCGGTTGAGCATCTGACTCTTAGTTTTGGCTTGGGTCATGGTCTCAGGCTCGTGGAATCCAGCCCTGCATCAGACTCAGTGCTCAGCCTGGAGTCTGCTTGAGATTCTTTCCCTCTCCCTCTCCTTTTGCCCCTCCCCCTGCTCACATGCCCACTCACTCTGTCTCTCAAATAAGTAAATAAAATCCTAAAAAAAGTAAAGTAAGCTAGAGAAAAGAAAATGTTATTAAGAAAATCATAAGGAAGAGTAAATACATTGACAGTACTGTACCATATTGGAAAAAACATCTGCACGTACGTGGACCCGTGCCATTCAAACCTCGTGTTGTTGAAGGGTCGACTGTATGTTACATTTTAAGTGGAGCAAAACAAATTGTATGGGATTGTTATCTGTATGGCTATTCCTGTAGGAATGCAGCCATGAGGCAGAGGTAGGAGCTGGCACCTGAAGAGGTCAGCCGCTCTGTGACCTACTTCTGGGTCCACCACTAATCACTAATTAGTCCAGTGAATGACACTGAACCAGCACTCGGTCCCTTTTCCACTACTTTTAAAGTAAAATTAGACTGATGATCTCTTAAGATCTCTTCCAGCTCTACATTCTAAACATAGTAAATGCCAAGAATTCTCCCAAACTTGTCATAGCTGTGGTGGAATGGAGCAGCTCTATCTCTAAGGCAAAATAAGACTTTAGTATCTACTTCTTAGTTTGAAAATAGCAGCCAACTGAAAGGCACGTAGTGGTCCCACTGTAACTGCAAGGGGTCACTAGAGAGCTTTAAGGCTTTCCTCAGAACTAGTTTTCTCCCTGTCCCTGTCCCTGCCCCTGCCCCTGTCCCTCTCTCTCTCTCTGCTTCCCCATTGTTTATTTTTGTCTGTGTGTCTTCCTCTTTCAAACACTTCTCCCTTCTTTGCCTCAGATGTCCCCCCTCTATTGACTTGAAGTATGGCTGTGTTCTGGTGTCTTGGATTTAAGATTTATCACCTCCATTTTTCAAAGTTTTAAGTGACTGAAACATTTTATAGTTTTCTCTTTTTGAAAATTCTAATATTATACCACTTTTTAGTTGGGTGGCATCATTTGTGCATTTCTCTTGCTTATGGATTGACTTAACACAGGTTTGACTTAAGGAATTTACAACCCAAACTGGGAGAAGTCTGGAAACTATTTGGTGGATAGCAGTATGGGTGGCTTCCCTGCAGAAGATAAGAATCCAGATATTTGAAAGGGAGGGACTATTCAGGTATCTCTAGAATCAGGGATGGAATCGACTTAGGAAGAGGTAGACTTTGATTTGAGATAAGAAAGAATGATCTGAAGGGGCACCTGCACCCCAGTGTTTATAGCAGCAGTGTCTACAATAGCCAAACTACGGAAGGAGCCCAGATGTCCATCGACAGTTGAATGGATAAAGATGTGGTAGATATATACAATGGAATACTACTTAGCCATCAAAGAAAATGAAATCTTGCCATTTGCAATGATGTGGATGAAATTAGAGGGTATTATGGTAAGCAAAGTAAGTCAATCAGAGAAAGACAATTATCATATGATCTCTCTGATACATGGAATTTAAGAAACAAAACAGAGGATCATAGGGGAAGAAGGGAAAAGTAAAACGAAATTAGAGAGGGAGACAAAACTCTTAACCATAGAAAACAAACTGAGGGTTTCTGGAGGAGAGGTGGGTGGGGGGTTGGGGTAACTGGGTGATGGGCATTAAGGAGGACATGTGATGTAATGAGCACTGGGTGTTACATGCAACAGATGAATAACTGTACATTAGAAACTAATGATATACTATATGTTAACTAACTGAATTTAAATAAAATAAGTTAAAAAAAAAAAAAAGAATGATCTTACAAACTAGATCCTGTCCCAGCTTCAGGACATCAGGAGATATCCACTGGCTGCTGCCTTATCTCCACCAGGTGTCTGCATAGGAGATTCCACTACTGAGAGATGGGCCAGATGACCACTGAGATTGCTCCTATATTCCTTTATGGATTGAATGAAAATGAAGACTTAGCTGCTGCCTTCTTAGATGTTTTGTCTCAAGATCAGAGTACTAACTTGTATCTTATTTTTTTAATTAGGAAAAGATGGCATCTCTTTCCTCCCGAAGACACTCCTTTCCTTTATCCGACAAGAATCCCTTATGAAGAATCTAGTGTGTTCAGCAAAATCAATGTTGTCAATCCTGATTTAAAACGTTTTCCTCAGTTCTGCAAAGCTCGAAGACATATGGTTACACTAAACCCAGGACAGGTAATGGGCGCCTTAAAACATTGATGACCTGTCAGTGCGTGCCCCAGCTATAAATTCTTTCATGTCCTTATACCACACACCTCCCCACCAATACAAATGAGAGTGATTTTCTTCCCTGCTGCTCCCTGCTGTTAGAAGGCTTCAGATGCAAACTTCTCAGCTTCACAGGTCATGGAACTATGGGAAGAGGGAATATAGCTCTTTCTACTGGTGAAGAGGAGAATGACTTTGGAGGAAAATAAGAACTCACAGTCATTTTTTTTTTAAAGATTTTATTTATTTGAGAGAGAGTGCTAGAGAGCATGAGCCGGTGGGGGGCAGCGGCAGGGGGAGGGAGACAAGCAGACTCCCCACTGAGCAGGGAGCCCAGACACGGCCAGATCCCAGGACCCTGAAATCATGACCCGAGTTCTCCTAAAAGGTGCTCTATTCCCAACTCCTAGCTCCCCCTTGCTCATAGCAAGTGCCACCCATTTTCTAAATCTGAGGCCCCAAAGCTTTGGATCATCCCATCTGCTCTGCTCAAACTTCCATAGGTACTAATCTCATACTGAGTCTGGACAATTGCAATCCTTCTTGACTCTGGTTGTTGGCTTTTGTTTATTATACCTTCCTGTTTAGATCTTAACATTTAATAGTTGGACCACTATAAGGATCTCCTGTCCTTCCCAGACTCTCCCATAATGTTGCTATTTTAACCATCCCCTACTAAAAATTTCTTAGCGGGGCACCTGGGTCATTCAGTCAGTTAAGTACCTGGCTCTTGATTTCAGCTCAGGTCGTGAGCTCAGTGTTGTGAGACTGAGCCCTGCATCAGGCTTCACGCTGAGCATGGAGCCTGCTTAAGAATCTCTCTCTCCTTCTCCCTCTGCCTGCCCCCCCCCACTCCCTCTCAAAAAAAAAAAAATTCTTAGCAACTCCTTAATGCTTACAACTCATTAATGCTTAATGCTTAATGCTCCTAAATGCTTAGCAACTCCATAAGCATTAATGATTTTATCTTTTCATTTCTGCCGGGAAATGAAGGAGGCCTTTTCCCTGCAATATGCTCTGTGTAATCCCGGTTGCCTGCTCTACTTGACAACTAACATGGCTGCCCAGTGAGGCTCAACCCGGGCTTTCATTGCACCTGTGCCTCTTTAACCAGAGGCTTTGATGGCAGAGGCTTTGATGGCATCTCTGCTGTCCTATACCTTAATGCAGATTCTTTATTCTGAATTCAGGGCCCTCCACTGGCCCTAACCAACTCTCCCACCTTATCTCCCGTTAGCCCATCTGCAACAGTAAGACCTACCTACTTGCTGTCCCTCAACAGTCCCACCGCCCTTGCTGGCACTACCTCTCCCTCCTGGCATGTCCTCATTCTTTGCTCTGTCTACATTCTCTCCTAACCCTGGGTCAGACCACACTTCATCCATACCAGGCTTCCCCTGCCCTCCCTGGTTCATGCCTGTGTCTCCCACCTCTGAGGTTCCCTAGCACCAGTGTCTGCTCCTTTGAGTCACCACTTACCCGATGCCCCCTTTCTATGTACTGTTTCTTCATTGGCTCAATTTTATACTGTGAGAAGACAAACTACTTCCTCTGGTTTTACCTATGCCCTTTCTCAGAATGCATACAACTATTTTTCAGTGGAAAGGAGGAAAAATTAGAATCTCAGAGTCCTAAACCTCAGATTTAGATGCAGGCAGAGCAGGTCCAGGATTAAGGAGAGTAGAAGTTGGAGAAGCTGGCGATATCCTTTGTGGAGCATGTGAACTTGTTGGATAAAAAAAAGAAAGGGATTGTGAGTTTTGTTTTGTTTTTTCTTGTTTCCCTTTCCAACAGCAATATTGCTATAAATTCATATGTATTCCTAGCATTTTCAATTAGAGTCCAATGTGCTATTCTTGTGCTAACTTACTTCTTGTTTGCTTTTCAGGTTCTTTTTGTTCCCAGACACTGGTGGCATTATGTAGAATCCATTGATCCTGTCACTGTCAGTATAAACTCATGGATTGAGCTGGTACTTTTTTTTTTTTTTTTAATAAGTGTAATCCCTGCTTTTAAGATATATATAGCCTGTCTATAAAACTTGTGATTAATTTTAACCAGTACTCCAGTACTACTTTGGTTTGATATGTTATAATTTATGTATTCAGTACTCTGTTAATGGGTGTTTAGGTTGGAATTAGGATTTTCAGTGATGCACCATTCTCTTTGCTTTAATGGCACACTGTGGGCCCTGTTGTTGGTCCCTTAGCTGGTATTGTTAAGAGAACGGTGTCGGGCCTGTCTGGATCTGCCGTGTATGTCCCACGTTGCCAGTCCTGTCCACGCCCAGATGGGCTAGAGATTCACTGCTTCTTGGTTCAGGGCCCTTATTACTAATTGCACAATTCTCAGTCCTGCCTTCTACCTTTTCTCAAAGTAGAGTCTTTGAGTGCTAGAATTTTATCATTTCATTTCTGCCAGGAAATGAAGGAGGCCTTTTCCCTGCAATATGCTCTGTGTAATCCCGGTTGCCTGCTCTACTTGACAACTAACATGGCTGCCCAGTGAGGCTCAA